TAAATATTAGAGTCATCTGGAGATCTGAAACATTCTCCCATCTACAATCACCTATTAAATCAATTAAATCAGCTGAGTATGGTGGCTCACATCTATAATCCTAGCATTCTGGGAGGCCACAGGTAGATTGCTAGAGCTCAGGAGTTCAAGACCAGCCACAGCAAGAGCAAGACCCTATCTCTACTTAAAAAAGAATAAAAAACTAGTCAGGCATGGGAGTATACACCTGTAGTCCCAGCTACTCTAGAGGCTGTAGCAAGAGGATTACTTGACATAGAAAGTTTGAGTTTGCCGTGAGCTTTGACACTATGGCACTCTACCCAGGGCAACAGAATGACACTCTGTCTCAAAAATAAGGAAGTAAGATAAATCCATTAAATCAATCTCTGGCTTGGTAGATCTGGGTGTGGCCTGAGGATTTCCATTTCTAATAAGTTTCCAGGTAATGCTGAAGCTACTGGTCTAGGAACCCCACTTTGAAAATCAATGGGAGTGGGTTGGCCCCTGTAGCTCAAGTGGCTAGGATGCCAGCCACATACACCATAGCTGGCATGTTCGAATCCAGCCTGGGCCTCCAAACAGCAATGACAACTACAACCAAAAATAGCCAGGTGTTGGGGTGTCACCTGTAGTCCCAGCTACTTGGGAGGCTAAGGCAAGAGAATTGCTTAAGCCCAAGAGTTGGAGGTTGCTATGAGCTGTGATACCACAGCACTCTACCAAGGGTGACAGCTTGAGACTCTGTCTCAAAAAAAAAAAAAAGGAATAATAATAACCGAATAAAAATAGTGGACAAAATATTTAAGATACTTCACAAAAGAAAACATATCAATGGCCATAATAAGCACATGAAAAGATGCTCAACATTATAAGGCATCATGGAAATTGCACAACTGAAGCACAGTGAGACACTACTACACACTCACTAGTGTGGCTACATTAAAAAGACTGACAATAGCAAGTGTTGGTCAGGATGTGGAGTAACTGGAACTCTCACACGTGGTTTGTAGGAATGTAAGATAGAACAATCACTTTGGAAAACAAATTCATGCACAGTTAAATATACATTGATTATTAAACCCAGTAATTCATTTACCCCACATGGTATAGATCAAATGTGTTGTCCCCAAATTCATATGTTGAGACCTAAAACCCAATATGGTGGTATTTGAAAATAGGGCCTTTGGTAAGTGACTAGGTAATGTGGGCAGAGCCTTCAGGAATAGTCTGAGTGCCCTTAGAAGAGACCCCAGAAGGCTCCCTCACCCACATGAGGATAAATGACAAGATGACTATCTATGAACCAGGAAGCAAGCCCTCAGGAGACTGACCTGCCAGCACCTTGATCTTGGACTTGCCAACCTCAGGCACTGTAAGAAATACAGTTGTCTATAGAAAGAAATCTGTTGTCTATAGGCCATCCATTCTATGGTGCTTTTTTCTTTTTAAAGACACAGTCTTATTTCGTGACCACAGGTAGAGTGCAGTGGCATCATATCACACAGCAACATCAAATTCTTGGGCTGAGGTAATTCTCTTGCCTCAGCCTCCCAAGTAGCTAGGACCAGAGGCGCCTGCCACAACGCCCGGGTATTTCTAGAGATAGGGTCTCACTCTTGCTTAGGCTGGGGTGCTTCTTTTTAAAAGCAACCTGATGAACTAAGATACAAAAGAAAGCAAAATATACATCTATATAATGATTTGTGTAGAAATGTTCATAGCAGTTTTATTCTGATGGCCAAGATTCAGAAACAGGCCAAACGTCCACCAACAGGCAAACAGATAAACAAACCATGGTCTCACCATAGAGGGGATGGGTGCTCAGCAATACAAAGGAATACGTATTGACACATGCAGCAGTGTCCCTGAATCTGAAAACTTGACCTGGAGCAAAGCTAGACACCAAGGCATACACATAGTCCGGAATTACATCAAAGTCTGTAAAAGGCAAATCTGAGCAGCAGTGGCATAAAGGAGGGCAGTATTGCCTGAAGCGAGGCATGGGGGGGGGTACTGACAGCAAAGGGGCGTGAGAGGACTTGTGGGGTGATGTGCCTGTTCTGTCTTCACAGTGACAGTGTCTTATGGATCTGTACATCTGTCAAAACTCATCAAAAGAGTACCTAGAATGGTTGTGTTTGTATGGAAATTATATCTGTGTAAAGTTGATTAAAAAATGAATTCCTCTGAAAACGTTTTTCTAATCATTCCCTCCCACACTAGGTGAGGCCACCTGCTACGCATAGTAGGCATACCAACCACAACCTGGGTTTTTTTTCTTCCACTGCATTTCCCAAGTTTGTATTGTGATCATTATTTTCCTGTCAGTTGCCACGAGACTAGAACTCCACTCCCCTCATGACGGCTGAGCACCTGGCACCACGTCTGCAGTGACGAGTGCTCACTAAACACCAGCAGAAACAGGAGTGCAGGGCTAAGTGAAGGCCGAGGCCCTCGCAGGAGGCAAAGGCCAGGACAGCAAGTGGTATTGGCCTCAGGCCACCCCTTTGGAACTAAAGCTCTGTGGAACAGATGACCTCTGGGCCTGTCCATGAGGGGCCATGGGCCTGCCTGGAGAAGTTGAGTCTGTGTAATTCCTGTGAGATCTCTAGGAAGGTCTTGCCTTTGGTCTCGGGGAGGAACAAACCAGTGTAGATGGCCGCACAGGCACAGACACCAAGGAAAGGGACAAAGAAGAAGTGGGACAAGCCCTCCTGTGGTTAAGAGAGCCCCCAAGACCTGGTGTCCGCTCCATGAGCCCCCAGAGCCTGTGACAGGTCATGAGGAGGGACTTTGCTCACATAAACCCACCCCCAGTCTCAGCCTCCCTGGATGGAGGCCACCTCTTCTGGGGTTCTCAGAATGGTAAGGGAAAGAAAAGGAAGACAGGACCCCCAGGAGACTGAGACTGCAGACTCACCAGCACAAAGGGGAAGCCCAGCCCGACCAGGAAGAGCATGGTCCACACAAGTGCCCCACAGACCATGTAGGCAGCAGGCCCGTCCATCTGCTCAAACAGCTCTGTGACCAGGATCCCTGTCACCCCGGCTGCAAGGAGGGGTAAGGACAAGGATCTTCCAGCCAGGGCTCCTCGCCCACCTCTCCCCGACTGAGGCCCAGTCTGTAGGGGGACCCGTGGTGCTCTCCTGCCATTGCCTCCCATAAATCACAGGGCTTGCAGATGACATGGCATTCACGCCCACCCACTGTTCACCCAGGCACCTCTTCTTCCCTCAGCAAGGGGAAGGAAGCCAGGAGCCCCTCAGCTTCACTCACCAGGGCCAATGCCAAAGCTGAGGATGAAGGCAAAGATGCAGGCCATGGCCAGGTAGGGCATCCCAGGAAAGGAGCCCTGCGGCACATGGGGTGGGTGAGGTGGAGATGAGCCCCCAGCCCTGCCACTGGAGCCCAGCCACCCGCCGCCACCACCAGCTACCTCCAGGCACAGGGCCACCGTGAAGATGCTGCCCCAACAGGCCATCAGACAGTACCCTCCTGTCAGCAGCACCGCCGGCCCAGCCTCTCAATCACCACACACTGCAAAAGAAAGGAGTGGTGACACATGCACCAGGCCCCAGGCCCCAGGAGTGGGAGCAGGCAGGGGGGAGGGGCCCTCACAAGGGGGTGGGGTGGGGAGCAGTTTATCACTGCAGGAGACTATGACTTTACTAAGAATGTCTTAGAGTAAAAGACATTGAAAAGACAGTGAAATCAATCAATCAAATCAATCAATCAAAAGACAGTGAAATCAATCAATCAATTTCACTCAGTTTCCTCATCTCAAAATGGTGCTGTGATTGCCTGGCAAACAGTAGGTGCTCAATAGATGCTCTTGAAGTCACAGTGGTTTTTTTTTTTTTTTTTTTGAGACAGAGCCTCAAGCTGTCCCCCTGGGCAGAGTGCCGTGGCATTACAGCTCACAGCAACCTCCAACTCCTGGGCTCAAGCGAGTCTCCTGCCTCCGCCTCCCAAGTAGCTGGGACCACAGGCGCCCGCCACAACGCCCGGCTATTTTTTGGTTGCAGGCGTCATTGTTGTTTGGCGGGTCCGGGCTGGGGATTCGAACCCGCCACCTTAGGTGTACGTGGCTGGCGCCTTAGCCGGTTGAGCTATAGGTGCCGAGCCGAAGTCACAGTGTTTTAACAGTAAGCCAGAGTGAATGGCTTCAGAAGGCCATTGTCCTTGGAGTGCCAGCACCTGAGGGTCCCTCCCCACAGGCTAGTAGATGTGCCCCACACAGACTCACGCTGACAACAGCAGAGAAGAGCTCACAGCTCCCGGTCCCAATAATGGCATACTGGACCTTCTTCTCCGGAACTCGCACCTCCCGGAACACAGTGGAGACATAGGCATATATCTGCAACAGGCCGGCAGCAGTGGCTGGGAGGCCTTGCTTCCCTCCTCCCCTGGCTCCCAAAGCTCCCTAGCATGCAGCCTCCACCAAGGCCAAGGCTGCAGGCCTCACCATGTCATTCCCACAGAGCTCCATGGCACTGCCCAACACCACCAGGCTTGTCACCTGCCTCCTCAGGGCCCAATGCTGGAACAGCTCCCAGGGGCGCCAGGCACAGCAGTCATGGCAGGCCGTGCGCTCTTCCTTCAGGTCCTCCAGCTCCCCCACCACGTCCCTGAAGCCTCGTAGCCACTGCAGCGCTGTGCAGGAGAAGAGGGTGTTGACCTCCCCACCCCGCTCTGGTCCCCTCCCTGTGTCTCTCTCTCCCTCTGTGTTTGCTTCCTCAGTCAAAGGCGGATGACCTTCCTGGCTCCATCACCTCCAGGGCTGTTGGGAGGGTCAAGAGCACCACAAATGAGAAAAGCCTTTAGAAAGTAACTGGGGACTCTGTGGACACATCAGACGAATTGCCCTTTTCATCCCAGTTCTTCTCCCCTCCCTGCATCCACGCCCTTCCTTATGTGATTTTTTTGCAAGGCTTGACTATACCCTGCCACTGGCTCTGGGCTTGGCCATGAGATGCGCTTTGGCCAACAGGATCAGGGCATGCTGTGTTCCAGCTGAAGCCCTGCTCACCTCTACTTCCTCCTCGTCACCATCATATGAACATGTCAGGCTAGCCCACTGGTCCCAGGAGGATGACAAGAGACTCTAGGACAAGAGGGCCCAGCTGAGCCACTCCCACCGGGATGAACCTAGATCAGCCAATGCCCAGCAGACCTGCAGCTGCAGGAGTAACTAAGACCAGCCGAGCCCTCCACCCAGACCCATCCTAGATCAGCCAACCCCAGAGAACTCAGGCTGAAGCTGCACAGTGGCTTTTCTTTGCCACTGAGATATCAGGATTGTGTCCATTAACAACAGAAAACACACGGAAAAACTGGTTCGGGAGTAGGTGTCACCATAGCAAGGACTGTGAAATATGGTGTTGGTTCCAAAACCAGGCAGAGGCCAGGCATGGTGGCTCACGTCAGTACTCCTAGCACTCTGGGAGGCGGAGGCGGGCGTATTGCTTGAGCTCAGGATTTTGAGACTAGCCTGAGAAAGAGTGAGACCTCTGTCTATCCTAAAAATAGAAAAACTAGCTGGGCATTATGGTGGGCACCTGTACTTCCAGCTACTCAGGAGGCTGAGGCAGGAGGGTCACTTGAACCCAAGAGTTTGAGGTTGCAGTGACCTACATCTACAATGACTCCATAGCACTCCATACCCAGGGGGATAGACTGAGACTCCGTGTCAAAAAAAAAAAAAAAAAAAAACTGGGCAGAGGACACTGAGGAGGTTGGAAAATGAAAACCCATGTTACATAATGCAGCAACATCAAACAAAGAAAACCAACCTCACAGACTTGTGGACCTCAGCAGAGAGATGTTGAAAGCATGCATGGGTTGCTTTTAGCAGAGTATTCTAAGCCTATTGTAAGTCATGAGACCTGACTAGTTTGCAAGTGGAATTCCAAGGGAACTAAATTTAAGTAAATTTAATATATTCAATAAATTTGGGTTAAAAACAAAATAAGTTCTCAACTCTAGTCTCTCTATCCAGCAAAAAAGTCTCATATTAAGTTATAGCCCAAGAATGAGGGCAGAGATCAAATCCACAGCATGGCCAGGAAGCCAAGGACTCAGAATAAAGACTAAGTCCAAGGTGTGACTTAAAGCCTCCCGGCTAGAAAGGGAGCTTAGGTTGTATTGGGTAGGCACTAGCAATTAGGTCTTTGCCTGTCTCAAAAAGAACTGGGGGTTCAGCTCGGCGCCTGTGGCTCAAGCGGCTAAGGCGCCAGCCACATACACCTAAGGTGGCGGGTTCGAATCCCCAGCCTGGACC